CATGCTCAATAATCCAGTTGGTAAACATCCTGATGCATGCTCAATAAGCCAGTTGGTAAAGTTCTCTGTGTAAAGACGCAGCAGACCCGTTGAATCTTCACTTGGTCAGTCTCCCATCCTGACTTTAAAAATAATTAGTTCATAATAAGTAACAACTGTGTTGGGACCAAAGTTGTTTAATTTGAATGTGGATGATGTGTCAGGGCTTTTGAAGTGTTCTTTCATTCATTCAACTTTTATTTAAACAGATAAATCACATTGAGCCTCAAAGACTCATTTACAAGTGAGACCAGTTTGGACAGACAGTGGTTAACTGGACACATGGAGGAGTTGGAGGAGAAAAATTCATATCTGACTTTATTTTCCTGCCTGAGAAAAAAAAAAACCCTCCAATATTAAAAAAACACCTCCCACAAACAAGCACATGGTGACGTAGACATTCTGCAGAGGGTGGAGACGAGAGCGGTCAGCATGTTGATAGATGCTCTCGAGGTCCCTGTAAGAGTTCTGATAAGGATGTAATAATCAGCCAGTGTCCTCCGGTGAGATCCATAAACATTCTCCAGGGATGTCGAGGAATGGCCAAGAATAACATCTATGAGAATCCAAGAGTCCTGAAATGATGACACGTTTATTCAGCTGGTTCCTCTGGTTATCAGTTGGACGTTCCTCAGGGAGGGGTGTTTTATTGTTTTACTGTTTTATTTGCAGATGATGCCACATTTATTTTGTTCAGGTGAACATATTGAACAGATGTTAGAGATGATTCAGGCAGAATTCATAAAAATACACACTTGGTTCCAACATATTAAGTTATCATTAAATTAGTAAAAACAAACTACATGATATTCAGTAATAGAAAGAAAATTATCCATGTCCCATTTAAAACTGACAGTGGTGAAATTCATAGTTATTGAAATAAATGTTTGGGTGTGGTTATTGATGAGGACATGGAAATCTCATGTACATTACTTGAGAATAAAAATAGAAAAATCAGTTGCATACTGTATAAAGTAAAAGAGTTGTTGAAAGACACAGCTTTGTATATATTGTATAATGTCATGATTGTTCCATATTTAATCTACTGTGTTGAAGTTTGTAAAACAATTACAAATCCTATTTTTATTTCACAAAAAACAGCTATAAGAATTATTAGTAGGAAGTGCTGTGGTCACCAACAAATATATTATTTCATCAGTCGAAATTATTAAAATTTGATGATTTGTTTGAATATAGTATTTTAGAAGTCATGTATAAAGCTCATAAAAATATTATCCCCAAATATTAATTTAAAATGAGTTCAAAGAGAGTCATTATAACTTTAAGGAATGGAAATGTTTGCCGTCTCCTTCACATGGACTTTCTGTGTTCAACCTGCAGACCAAGCCAGTGGTGGCACCATCGACTGGACCTACAACCAGGGGGTCAAGTACTCCTACACCTTCGAGCTCAGGGACACGGGCCGCTACGGCTTCCTGCTGCCCGCCACTCAGATCGTTCCCACGGCCGAGGAGACGTGGCTGGCTCTGACGGCCATCATGGACCACACGTTCAGGAATCCATATTAATGTGTGTTTCTGTGTGGAGGCCCCAGTTTCACTCCTCTAACTGCTCATTAGTTGAACTAAAACAAAAAAATAAAAGTCACCACTGACAAAACAGACGTTTTAATTGTTTCTTTGAAGTTTACATTTTGTTGGCTGTTGCACAAGTTTCACAAATAGAAATATTTGCATTAATAACTGACGTCAGACATCAGGGCGGATTCTATACGTTATAAAAAGCTTTCCTTTATTTCAGATCAACAATTACTATTTGCTCCTATAGCAACATAAAACTACTTTTATTCTCTTGTGAATAAAATAAGTACAGATATTTGTTTGTTCATCCATCCATCCATCCATCCATCCATCCATCCATCCATCCATCCATCCATCCCACATCTTCCTTTTCGGGTAACGAGAGTCACATGCAGAAGATGGGGGACACCTGGACAGGTCTCCAGTCCATCACAGGGACACCTGGACAGGTCTCCAGTCCATCACAGGGACACAGAGACAAACAACCACTCTCTCTCTCTCTCTCTCTCTCACCTAGGGACAGTTCAGAGTCACCAGTCAGTCTAACTTGCATGTTTTTGGTCTGTGGGAGGAAACTGGAGCACCTGGAGAAAACCCACACAGCACGGAGAGAACATGCAGACTCCACCCAGAAAGGCCCCGGGCCAGGATTTGAACCGGCAACCTTCTCGCAGAGAGGCATCAGCTCTACCTGTGCCACGGTGCTGCCCCATGTTTGTTCAATGACACTTTATATAAAAGTGATGTGCAATAAATAATAAGAATCAGTAACCAACCAGATCTGGCTAAAATGAGAACCACTCCTTTAATTTTAAAGTAATATTTTGTATATTCATTTCCTTACCTGTATTCTTACGTAAGTTCATGTGTTGGAAAATGTAACCACATTTCAACAAGCTCCTCCATCTTACAGAGGAATGTAACTAATGCAGCAACTTAAATGATCTTGTATTACAGCAGGTTTTTTTCAAGTGATGTTTGCATTAAAGTTGTATTTTTTATTAAACATTTATTTATACAGGTTAATGGCTCAATGAGACTAAGCTGTATAAATAAAGGTCGAATGACAAAAAATGTACAACTTTAATGCAAACATCACTTTAAAAAACCTGCTCCTCTACAAAGAAAGTAATCCGAGGAGACTTGGTTGAATTCAGTTATATACTTTGCAACCGGTGGCTAGAAAGTAAAGAAAATGGCGCTCTCCTAACATGAAATAATTTTATTTAAGCCAGAGAGATGGTCAGAAGAAAGTCCTTTGTAAATTTAGAACTGTACATTTTTCATATTTAATACAACGCCTGGCAACAATTATGGACTCTTACAGGATGTTCTTTCAGAAGGTTTCATTTGTAAAAATAATAATAATAATAATAAATTACAGACGTGCCATGAAAAACATTTTTCAAATTTCTGACATTCGAGCATTTAAAAACAGGAACTCTTAAAACTGCAATGTGTCACAGTCGCTCATTTTTGATCAAGAAGAGGGAAAAGGTGGAATCAGTCTCTAACACCTGCATCAGAACCTGCTAATTAATCTTTGGTCATAAGAAAGAAGAATAAAGAAGGAACACCTTGGAGACGTGTTGCATGAGGCAGACTGACATGAATCGTGGCTCGAACACGAGAGATGCCACCGAAACAGTGGAATGAAACATTTCTAGTGAAGTGAAACTTCAGAATCATTGAAGCTTAGTTTGAAAAAAGTTAATTATTCGGGGACAGCACAGTGGCTCACTTGGTAGAGCTGCTGCCTCTCAGTGAGAAGGTCACCGGATCAAATCCCAGCCGGGGCCTTTCTGGGTGGAGTTTGCATGTTCTCTCTGTGCTGTGTGGGTTTTCTCCAGGTACTACAGTTTCCTCCCACAGACTAAAAACATACATGTTAGACTGATGGTAACTCTGAATTGTCTCAAGGTGTCCCTGTGATGGACTGAAGACCTCTCCAGGTGTCCCTATGATGGACTGGAGACCTGTCTAGGTGTCCCTGTGATGGACAGAAGACCTGTCCAGGTGACCCTGTGATGGACTGGAGACCTTTCCAGGGTGTGTGTCTCCCCCCCCCCCCCCCCCCCCCCGCACAGTGAAAGCTGGATATGGGCACCAGCAACCCCTGAGACCCGAAAAGGAAGAAGCGAGTAAAGATAATGGATGGATGGATGGATGGATGGATGGGTGGATGGGTGGATGGATGGATGGATGGATGGGTGGATGGGTGGATGGATGGATGGATGGATGGATGGATGGATGGATGGATGGATGGATGGATGGGTGGATGGATGGATGGATGAATGGATGGATGGATGGATGGATGGATGGATGGGTGGATGGATGGATGGGTGGATGGGTGGATGGATGGATGGATGGATGGATGGATGGATGGGTTAGTTATTGGAAGCCGTTGAACAAAGTCCTGTGTGGTGACCTCTTGCTGCCAGAAGTTTGAGGAGTAGCTTGAAGACACGACATGAACCGTTTCATGGTGGTCGTCCAACTGATGGAGTCGTCGGCTGTTGTTTAACTTCATGAGACGGTTCTGTCTGATTTTAAACCGTCATTCTGGTGCTTTGAACATTATTTGTCAATGAAAGAATAAAGTTATGTTGGTTTAACAAATAAATATGGATGAAAAGGTGAATTCATGTCATTGGATCAGGTTCTTTACATTGGTAGACCTGTTTGAATGAACCTTGTGCACACTGCAACCAATGCTGGAGCTCTTTTCCTACATGGGATTAGCTTCAGATTAGAGCAAGAACTGCTTCAGTCCAACGAGCACACGAACTGCACTAAATGTTAGTGTGAGAACCTCGTGGTGTCGGGGTGCGGTCCCCTCACATCACATCTTCCTCACCTTCAGCCTTTAAGGTCACACTAGTTTCAGGTCTGTAGGCCGTACGTCAGGAACACTTGCACCACCTCTCCTACTTACTGACTGAGTAAAAAGCCAAAAACAAGTTGATCCCTAGTTTTTGAGCAGTCAGGGTTCAGAGACCTTCAACCATCAACTCCCACGTGTCTCCTGAAGAAGCAACGCTGAACATTTTTCAAAAAGGCCCAAGGATCAGGTTACATAACAACTTCTTGTTGAGGAATGTTTTCACCCTTTTCTTTTCTCATGACCTCAAAGATGATTTTTATCAACTGCTGGTTTTTGTTTTTACCTCTGCATTCAGTGATTTTTGTCTTTGTTTTTAATTAATACAGAATTCATCATATTCTTCTTATATACTGCAGTGTTATTATTTCTCATTGTAATTTATTTATCTTGTATTTTAATGTTGAATTATTTTTTTGTGGAGCTCATATACACGCAGGGATTAGTGAATTAAGTTTTGTTTTATTGGATACTGTTTTGTACAAGGAAAAATATTCTATTGTTTCTACGCTAACCTATTTTATTCTTTACTAAATTATTTATTTTAGACATCTGAGTCAAATGATTAAAAGCAGTATCCTTTACAAAAACAGAAGCTGTATCAATCTTTGTTAGTTATTTTACACCTAAAAATCCTGAAGACACAGTTTTTAAGTACCTGCTTCAGTGATTCAACTTTTAGAGCAACTTTTTGTCTTTTTACAATAAAACAACATTTTGCTTCTTACTAATCTTTTTATTCACTTAGTTCTAGTATTTTTTTATACGTGCTAAAGTACTTAGTTGTGTTGGAAACGTTGATCTTACGGTGGATTTGAGGGCAATCCCATCATATATCAGACAGCATAACTATAATGGACATAGCCATATATGACAAATAAAACTATGAGATATAACTAATATAACATTAAACCTTGCGTAAATAAACTGGGCAACAGTAACGACTCATTAGCTCGACAGTGGAGCACAAACTGCAACAATCAGTTGTTCCAAATGCTCAATGCCGCCACCGATTTAAATTAAAACTATAAAACTATAAGGTTTGTGTCAGTTTTGGTTCAAGTTACAGGTTGCAGACCCCCCCCCCCCCCCCCCCCCCCCCCCCCCCCCCCCCCCCACACTCCC